GTGATTTAAAGACCAGAATGGCGCAATTACTGTTGTATCACTTGATTCCGAGTCATTTGCAAGGGTTTCGTAAGATGACCCTGGACACATTGATCACAGATGGGCACCTGCAGGCCAATATTTCTAGTCCAATACTGAAGGATGAAAACCATCAGGGGTTGTACGTAGGTACGTACCCAGGTCTCCGGCAGGATCCTACAAAGTACTCCATACATCTAGGTGTCTTTCTCCCTTATCAATAGAGAGCTCCATATTGGAGTGCAGATCAACATCGGTGTGCGTTTCATTGTTCTTTTTTTTTTCTATGAACCGTTTTTCATTGATACTGTCAATCTCACTCTGGATCTATCTTAAAATCTAAACTGAATCCTAAACCCCCTATATCATGACCAGCCGTCGCTCCAGTACCCCTTTAGCACGGCTATTATGGGAGCCAAGGTGCGTCTCATAGTGACGAATTCCAAGAATATTCCATGAATGGACACGCGACCGTGGCATAAACAAGCCAAACTCAATTAATTCGACAACTAATTATTTCTCCCTGTATAGAAGGACATGCTGTCAGAATCAAAGGGATGCGAGGGATGGTGAGTCAAATATTTTCTCGATGGTGCAATACCTTCTTATTGTTATTGCTTTTTTGTTCCCGTGCCGCCTTGATGATTCATTTTCCCATATTCCCATATTTCTTAATTTTTTTTTTTTTTTTGAAACAACATTGAAGTTCTTTAACCTCAAAAAAAAAGAATGGAGTGAATCCGGGAAGATTTCCAGTGTTCTGTTTGGTTGATTTTTTTGAAGCGGAGAGAATCCGAGAACACCAACATCACTTCATTCTCCACGTTGAAACCCATTGCAGACCATTGCAAATTGCAAAAAGTATAGACTGATCATGGATTTAGTCGAATCAGAGAGCACCTCTGAGGAGGATCAGAAAACCTGGGACTCTGATTCTCATGTCGATGCCAGTGCCCTTCCTAATAGTGACTGCGGCATCGGCCACCGCGTGCTTGCCAGTCGCTCCGTTCTCGCTCTGGCCATTGATGAACAATGTGTTTTCGCTGGTCTGCAAGGAGGAGATATTGTTGTAAGTTAGTTTGGATTGTTGCTCCAAAATGTCTACGGCAATGTTTTTTTCTACTGCCAAGGTCCGACGCTGACCGGTTCATCAGGCATGGTCCCTTGAAACATATGATCTTGTGGCATCAGTCCACGCACACAAAGAGAGTGTGCTAGGTCTCCATCTCTCCGAAGATGGAAATTTACTATTTTCAAGCGGTGGCGACTCTGTGGTCAATGTGAGTCATGCAAATGAAGAATCTCACGAACCGGGATTAATGACGCGGATAGGTGTGGTCCACGCGAACATTTGAGCGTCTCTACTCCATTTATTCACACCACGATGTGGGTGATATATTTACAGTAGTCTATTCATCGGATAACCAAACTATTTACTGTGGTGCACAGAACACAAGTATACAGGTATATCTAACCCTTGTCTGCGCCCTTCTTTAACGGTATTCTAATTTGGACAGTGGTGTGATCTCTCCGAGGAAGGATTGTCATTGAACCAAGCATATTCCGCTCACCCATCTAAGCGGACGCATCGTTTCTTTGATTCCCGAGGACCAGATGGTACTCGGGCTCCGGGATCATCAGATGGTGCTCTCTCTGACGGTGGTCGTGTGCTGAGCTTCAAGCGGGATCATCATAAGCTCTTCGCGCATCATGGATACGTCTACTCCATGCTTCTAGTCAAAGGCCTGGTTGAGACTGCTCCTTCCGAGGAGGTTCTTTTGACTGGTGCGGGCGATGGTGTGGTGAAGCTGTGGCGCCTGGGTCAGGATGCTGGCGCGGCTCCATCTCCAATTGCCAAGCTACAAAATGGAGATCCTGTGTTGAGTGTTGCTGTTGAGGGATCACTACTCTACTGTGGTTTGGCGGGCGGCGCCCTTAATATTTGGAATTTGGACTCTCAACAACTCGTTAAGCGGATCACTAGACATACTGGGGATCTGTGGGCTGTGCACGTCATCCAGGGTGTCGCTATCTGTGGTGACTCCAGCGGAACGGTCAAGGTACACACTGATTGAGATTTTTGTCGCCTTAGAATCAACTTCCGCTAACCTCCGATAGAAATTCAACTCCCGCTTCGAAGAGATCGGTGGCTGGGTTGCTCATGAAGGAACCATGCTCGCCTCGGCTGCTGGACGGTTCAAGGATCGCCAGATCTATGCCACTGGTGGAAATGACAACTCAGTGGGAATATGGGATTTGACTGAATTCTTTATGACCCAGGAAGAGCTGCCTCCGATCAGCAACGGTACGTCCCGTACACACTATTCCCGTCGAATACTTGCTAAATCTTACCCAGATGAAATGGTCAATAGTCTTGCAAAGTTCGTCTCTTTCAAGACGATCTCAGCAAGTCCCAAATTCGCTGGCGAATGCAACCAGGGTGCTGCTTTCCTTCGGCGACACTGCAACTACCTCGGTGCCAAGACCAAGCTCCTGACTACTGGTCAAGATACCAATCCCATTGTTTTTGCTAGATTTAACGCTACCTCACCCGACAAAGTGGACAAGACTATCCTCTTCTATGGCCACTACGATGTTGTAGGTGCGGAGACGAACCGACCCAAGTGGAGGACCGATCCTTACCAGCTCACTTCCATTAACGGATTTTTGTACGGCCGTGGTGTCTCTGATAACAAGGGACCCATTCTGGCATCACTGTATGCCGCAGCCGACCTCGCCCGGACGAAGACCTTGAGATGCAACGTCGTTTTCCTCATTGAGGGCGAGGAAGAGTCCGGATCCCAAGGTTTCCACGAGACAGTTCGCGAGCACAAGGCTCAGATCGGGTCCGTGGACTGGGTTCTACTGGCCAACAGTTACTGGCTTGACGACTATAACCCGTGCTTAACTTACGGGCTACGTGGTGTCGTGCATGCGAACTTGGTCGTCACAAGCGACCATCCTGATCTTCACAGTGGTATCGACGGCAGTACATTGCTGGATGAGCCAGTCAAGGATATTGCCATGCTTCTGTCCACAATTGTGGGACGCAAGGGTACAATCAATCTGCCCGGCTTCCACGATGCTGTTAGGCCTCTCACAGACGCCGAACAAAAGCGGTTCGAGGCCATTGCCGATGTATTGCTTCTGCAACACCCAGAGATCCCCAACAGCCAGGCGCTGATCAAGTCGCTTATGCATCGCTGGCGTGAACCCGCCTTGACCGTCCACTCAGTGGAAGTCCCTGGAAGCAAGAGCGCAACGACCATCGCGCGCCGAGCCAAAGCAACCCTATCGATCCGTATCGTACCAGATCAGCACGCCGACGAAGTCGCAGCCGACCTCACCGCCTATGCACAAGAGCAATTCGCGCTGCTCGACTCCCAAAACGACCTCACAGTCGAAATCACCGGTAAATCGGACGCCTGGCTCGGAGACCCAGATAACGAAATCTTTGCCACGCTGTCGGAGGCGATCACCGCAGCGTGGTCCCCGGCTCAAGAGGATCCGAAACGCCAATACCCGCCCATCACACAATCACCAAACACCCATCCAGCGGGCAAGCCCAAACCCAGCGCGGGACCGATCCCGGAACTCCGCCGCAAAGACTCCGATGACAGTCTGGCCTCGCATGTTGAGCGGGTAATCTCATCAACGACGACCTCATCAGCGGGTAAGGAAGCTGCGCGCAAACGGTCCACGCAAACGGCCGCCACAGTGCCAACGTCCTCCACTCTCACACAAGCCACACCAGCGTCGTCTGAGGAGTCAGTCGTATTGCCCATCCGGGCCGAGTCTGCTGCGGATACCAAACCCCCCCACGGCAAATGGGCCAGCTGTTGCGTCTGGCGCGGGCAAAGTGAAACCGATGTTCATCCGCGAGGGCGGGTCCATTCCGACAATCCGGTTCTTGGAGAAAGAATTTTCGGCCCCGGCAGCGAACTTGCCCTGTGGACAGGCCAGTGACAACGCCCACTTGGATAACGAGCGCATGCGCGTGGAGAATTTGTATAAAAGCCGGGAGATTTTCCGGTATGTGTTTGCTAACTTGGTGGATAAGTCTTGAGAGGTGTCAATTTCCTTTTTTGGGGTCTCATTTTTGTAAAATTAATAAAATTATAAAACTATTTTTTGAATTGCACTCGATGTGTATGTTTTCCGAGGCGGTGACTTTCTTTACCTGGACATTCATTACATCTGGAATCCTCCAGACCAATAGACTGTAGACATAGCCCACACATTCCAGATAACTCCCAATTAACATTTAACGCCATGCTCCATAAAGAGGGCAGAAAAATTCTCGAATCGGATAGCCTCAGTTGCCCCATACTCCACCGCTCGATATCCCAAGCCTCACACCAATCCGTGTCCCCGCATGGAGATCGTCTAGTCCCGACGCTGTTAAGCTCTTAGACCTTGGAGCTGTTGTACAAAGGTACACTCCCACTTCCGATGTACAACGTCCGGGAACGTTTGAATTTCCAATTCATAATTCGATTACACACATGTGTTTCGTATACACGCAGCTGGCCCCTCCATAGGAAGGTCGATGCCGTCTGTACATTGGCTGATTCTGGGTTTGATGCACTGACCAGGGTGTGGCTAGCCTAGAAGGAAACTTGGTTCTAAGCCGGATAGGGGATTCCATGCATGAAGCTGGCTTTGTTTGAACAGGCATTACCTCGTGTCCCGACAACTTTCACTGCCCGAGATCTAAGAAAAGTACTGGATAGGTCAGTTATGTGTTCGATCGTGGCCCGGGGAAGTATACTAGTGTATGGTTATTCTGTGGAGATCGGGGCTAGTTGGTGTTTTTTCTTTGTTTGCTGGCATAGTTCAAATGTTGAGATGATATGTAGATATGGATTTATGGATGGATGGATGGAGATATTTAGATAATTGTTAGATCAGATAATATAAGAAGGTGCCGGTCACCTTTTAAACTACCACAGACCAGACTTACCTGGGCTTTCACTTTCAAGATGAATAATCTTCCCTTTCAGAAGCTCCTCTCCAGTTTATCTAGACCTTTCATGAGTTTCGCAGATATGGTTGGCGTTTCTCGCTCGGTCTACATGTTGGACCGAGACCAAGCGGAGACTCAACGGTATGTGTTTGCTTGACTCCCGGTCACATCTTTGAAGGATATCTCAGATATACCATGTCTCTAACATCCCCCTGTCACCAAACTTGGAGTTCTTGCAGGGGTTCCGACCCGGCAGCTCGGGTCCCTCCGATTTGGCTGGTGCTAACATCTTCTAGTCTCAATAACCAGCATCGCTTTCTTGTCGATCTCTCCAACCTCATACATCCGTCGATTCCAAAAGACCAACTTACAGCAGTGGCTGATTTGGGCACTGGCACTGGGTATGTTAATTTCCCTAGCACTCTTTTTTTTTTTTTTAAGACAAAAGAAAAAGAAATTTGAAACAAACAAGAAGCCACTGTCACACAGAAGCTAACTCACCACAGCATCTGGCTCGAAGATGTCGCCGATCTCCTCCCCAACAAGTCAGTCTACCTTCACGGCTTCGACATCTCCTCAACTCAGTACCCACCACTTCACGAGATCCAACGACCTGGCCAAAACCCAATCCCATTAAGTGTCCACAACGCACTGGTCCCATTTCCAGCGGAGCACCGTGGCCGATATGACCTCGTACACATCCGACTCCTCACCGCAGGCCTGAAACAAATTGACTATATACGGGTGCTTGCCAACGCGCGTGATTTGCTCAGTATGTTTTCCCTTCCCTTCCTTTCCCTCTTTTCTCTTCTCTCTTCCCTCGCCAAAAGAATACCTACTCTCAACCTAGAACACCCAATTAACAATCACAGAACCAAATGGATGGATCCAGTGGGAAGAAGTTGACCACACATCGTTCTGCACAGACGCAGTTCCCGAGCCAGAAGTGATAACCCGACTGCGTGAATGTGTGATCGAAGCCATGCTGAAGATGGGCCTGTGGCCTTTCGCTCCACAGCGTGTGTTCGACGAGATTTCCACTAATGGGTTTGCCGATGTCGTCCGGGAGACTTATACCACTGCTGGGAAGGAGTATCTGCAGCCTATCGCACAGAAATGGGTCGCTGGTGTGATGCGTGCTCTCGTACCGCCTTGCATGGTTGTTATTGATCAAGCTGAGGATATCACACAGGCGCGTGAGATGGCTGATCAGTCGGTTCGTGAGTTTGAGGCCCATTGTGAGACTGCAACGGCGCTGGTTAACTTCGGGATTACTGTTGGTCGGAGAGTGAATTGATATTTCGTGCAGACTGGGAGGCTCCCCTTTTTTGACAAATTCATTTTCACCAGTGTTGGATCAACACGTAGGTAGTCTTTTCGCAAATGAAAATGTGGGATTCATTTCAAAATCCTCCATGTTCTCCCTGTTCTCTCTATCCTCGTACCAAATAAACCCAATGTGCCCCACAAAACGCAATCCGGGGGAGAAAATCTTTCCGAAATCTTCAACTTCCAAAAAAAAAATTAAAATCTTCCCTCCAGATCTACCAATGGAAGCATCAATGGAAATCCAAGAAGCTCCGCCCAAAGGGCGAAGCAAAGTTCAAGTTACCGCAATTATGGTAGCGCTTTCAGTAAGTCCCACGGACGCAGAACTAAAACCTCATATTCGTCGACTAATTCGCACTAGTTATCAATGTTTATCGCCGCGCTAGATCAAACTATCATGGCGACAGCGATCCCAACAATCGCAGCGTATTTCCACTCTTCGGCTGGCTATACGTGGATTGGCGGAGCATATCTTCTCAGCTCCGCCGCCAGCGCATGTATCTGGGCCAAGCTTTCTGATATCTGGGGACGGAAACCTATCTTGCTTTTGGCTGTTGGGTGGTTTTTCCTCAGTTCCATTATCTGCGCTGCTGCTACTAGCATGGAGATGTTGATTGCTGGTCGAGCGCTGCAGGGTGTCGCTGGTGGTGGTTTACTTCAGCTCGTTACCATTATTATTTCGGATTTGTTTAGTGTTAGGTATGGGACTTTGATTATCTACAGGATGATTTTGGCTCTTTATGCTTGTTATCGAGGGGATTTACTAACTGTTGCAACAGACACCGCAGTTTATACCTCGGCCTGATGGAGGTTATGTGGGCTTTTGCTGGTGGTGTTGGACCTCTACTTGGCGGTGCATTTAGTCAGTATGTCACCTGGAGATGGACTTACTGGATCAATCTACCGATCTCTGGGGCGACGTTTGTGCTTCTTTTCTTTTTCTTGGATGTGCATAACCCCAAGACGAAAATTATGGATGGCGTCCGCGCTATCGATTGGTTCGGTAGTCTATCTGTTCTGGGTCTTACTCTCATGCTTCTATTGGGATTGGACTTTGGTGGTGAGACCTTTGCCTGGAAATCACCGCAGGTCATCTGTCTGATTGTCTTCGGATCTCTATGTTCCTTGCTGTTCGTCTACAGCGAGAAGAAACTGGCCAAATATCCTTTGATGCCTATGGATATCTTCACTCGATTCTCCAACATTGCTACCTTGCTGGTAGCCTTTGCGCATGGATTTGTTAGTATCTTCATCCCATTGATCGTCTTCAACCACTGACTACCCTATAGGTCTTCATCGCCGGGGAATACTACATCCCCCTCTACCTGCAATCCGTACACGGATCCTCACCAATGGGCTCCGGCGTTCTCATTCTCCCACTCGTGGTAATGGAAGCATTCTCCGGCATGTTCACCGGCGCAATCATCCACCGCACAGGTCGATACCTCGAACTTATCTGGATCGGCCTGGTACTGATGACCATTGGAAACGGGCTATACATCAACCTAGGCGTGGGATCCTCCGTCGGCAAGATAGTCGGGTACCAGATGCTCAGCGGTCTCGGTGCCGGATTCCTTTTCCAAACACCCATCATCGCCATCCAGGCCATGGTCTCGCAGGAAGACACCGCAACCGCCACTGCAACCATCGGCTTCATTCGCAATATGGCAACCGCGGCTTCCATTGTGATTGGCGGTGTCGTCTTTCAGAATAGTATGGGCCAGAGACAGTCCAGTTTGTTGGCTTCTGGTATGTCAAGCAGCATGGCGGCTCAGATGTCTGGGGATTCGGCAGCTGCGAGTATCGAGTCGATTAAATTCATTACGGATCCGGAGCAGTTGCTTGCTGTCAGGGAGGCTTTTGCTTGGAGTTTGAGGAATATGTGGATTCTTTATACGTGCATGTCTGCTGTTGGGGTGTTCTTTTCGGCTTTTATTCTGAAGACTAAGTTGAATAAGGAGCATGTGGAGACTAAGACGGGATTGAATGTTGAGAAGACGCCAGTCGTTGAGGAGAGTGTACATAGAATATAGATTCTTAGAAATGTATTTATCTGCTCTCTATCCCTTTAAATATTTATATGAAGTATGGAGTTTGGTGAGAATATATGGAACGCGTAACAATATATTCAAACTCGAGTCGAACGAACATGCAAGAAGCGAATATAGACAAGAAAACCAAGTAAACAGTTCATCGCAAAGCATCAATGGCACCTTATTCAACAGAGCACTTTCCTCCCACCACACAGAGAACAGGCAGATCAGCAACACTATTCCCAACCCAGATCTTAATGCCCTGTCCATTGACAGGAGCTTTCCAATCCTGCATGACAACATCCCAAACACTAACGTCCTTGCGAGTAAGATGCAGCGTAACTACCTCACTCTCACCAGGCGCAAGCTCCTTTGTCTTCTCAAATTGTCGGAGTTGCAAGGCCGGCGTGTCCAGTCCCAGACTAGACGGAAGCTCAACATACAGCTGCGCGACAGCCTTGCCGGTTCGCTTGCCTGTATTTTGGACCTCCAACTGGACCGAAAATACAGTCTCGAAGAGAGCGGGATTTCCGCCCTCACCACCTCCAGCCCGGGGGACTGGGTGAGGCTCGGTGCTGTAGCCGTCCGGGTAGGGGTATTTCTTCGTTGCGGTGATCGATTGCGGGTTGAGTAGGTAGGGGTATAGGTAGCGCCAGATGCGGGTAAAGTTGGTAGAGGACCAGGCGACTTCCGATGCGTCTGGGATACTTGTGTTGTAGGCGGGAGTTGGCGGCTTGGTGGGTCGTGCAGCTGGATAGGCTGAGTCTAGTGGAGTTCCTGTCGATAGCGAAGGCTGAGAGAAGTTGAAAGTGGTGTAAGAGAGACCGTGGCCAAATGCATAGCGAGGTGTGATATTAGCTTTGAGGAAGTGGCGGTAGTCGATGTATAACCCCTCGGTGTACGTATCCTGGATCTGGCCAAATGGTTGGCTGATCAAGTCCACGCTATCCGGGTAATCGTCTTCGCTGCGGGGGATGGTGTATGGCATGTGACCGCTTGGACTATAATCACCAAAGAGTACATCGGTAAGGGAGTTGCCAGCTTCTTGCCCGGGGAGATGTGCCACAACCACTGCTTTCACAGACTTGAGTTCAATCCACTCTTCCATCAGGATGGGACCGACGGTGTGGACAATCACAACTACATTGGAAAACTTCTCTGCTGCTGCTTTGACGAGATCATCGCCATTATGCCAAGCCTTGAGTCCAGCTATGGTTCGATCTCCCGGGTTCCCTTCGACTGTAACGTAGTTTTCGCCTGAATCGGCACTGATGAAAACAAGGGCGATATCGTTGGCATTGACGGTAATTTCCGAAGGGAAGTTGTCGGTGATGTGAAACTCGGTATTCTTAGTGATATTAGAGATTGCCTCTTGTGGTGTGATGAGATAGGGTAGTCTGGCCGTGCCACTACCCCAGCCCATGGTCAAAACGCCTTTGTTGCATCCTTGGTCGGCGCATGAGTTGAGACCGTCTGGATTTCCACCTGCATCTGTGCCAAACACCTTGAGAGAATCATTGCTGCGTAGAGGAAGAATGTCCATGTCGTTCTTGAGTAAAGTAATTGCTTCCCGTGCGACAGCTCTTGCGGTGATGTTATGATTTCCCCTGACATCGATGAACTGGTTGACGATACCAGATGGAGAAAATAGAGCGCCGGGGTAAATAAGACCCTCCTTGTCCTGAGTGTTGGTCGAGAAGTTTGGCAAGGGATAATCCTTGTCCTGCCCCATTTTATACCAAGTAGCAACGATACGTTGAGCCTAGACCCGTATGTTAGACATGAGGAAAACAAGATTAGACAGCCACTTAGGTGGCCTTGTCATTTCTTTTTGGGTGGGCTTTTTAGATGTCCTTTTTCGGTGTATGTGAAGGGGGCAAAGAGCATAAAATGTGCAGAGGACTTTTCCATGTATAACCATGGGTATTCACATAGTGCATCACGTACCATATCGTTGAGTCGGTCGACGGGAACACTGCCATTCAAAACTGATCGCGACAGCTCAGGACCCCAGTATGAATCTCCAAATAAGGGAACGGCTCCATCGCCAGGCATGGCCATATCTAAACCCGCTATGGCAGACGCAACGCCAGCGTAATGACCCAGCCAATCTGTCATCACAAATCCTTGGAAGCCAAGCTCATCTTTGAGAATGCCATTGATCAACTTGCTGTTCTGAGAGCATGAAGAACTATTGACCTATTAGATGTTAGTAGCACACACAAAAACGGAATCAACAAGACTCACATCGGAATAAGCTGTCATCAAGGACCCTACACCTGCACGAACACCCTCGGCAAAAGGCCAGAGGTACAGTTCATGTAATGTGCGATCATCAATATTAGACGAATAGCCCTTAGTAACAATACTGCTCATGCGGTGCATCTCCTGCTCATTACCAATGTAATGCTTGATAGCCGCGATAGCACCGGTGCTCTGCATACCCTTCACAGTCTGGGCACCGCCAACGGCCTGCAGAGTGGGATCGACACCGAAGCCTTCCCAGTTCCGTCCGCCGCGAGGCTTGCGGCCGAGCGATCCCACCGATGGTCCCAGGAGCACGTTGACGCCCTTACCGCGAGCCTCTTCGCCGAGTCCAACACCTCGCTCATACATGAGGTCTTTGTTAAAGGTTGCGCCAACCGTAATACCAGGCGGGAAGGCAGTGTTGTGGTCCGAGTTTCGAATTCCCAGAGGGCTGTCTTGGAGACACAGGTTGGGAATACCGAAGCGAGGTACGCTCCCTGTCTGCCCTACACAGGGTCCCATGAAGAACCCAGTGCCTGTTGTTAAATTAACTTTCTCAGCCAGCGTCATATTGCTGACGAGATGATGCGCCTTGGAGTAGGCTTCGCTCCAGTCGGGAATCCATCCTCCCGGAGGGGTGGGATAGTATGGGGGTGATTCATAGCCTTCTGCTGCCCTCGCGCGCAGGTGTGTAGCAGAGTCGGATTTGTCTGGTACTGGGGAAGCGAGGAGGAGCGGGGTTAAAAGAGAGACTAGGGTTAGATGTGCCCAGGGAACCATGGTGATGGATTCGGAATAAACAAAAAGAGAGCAAATGAAAAAAAGATCGTATATGGGCCAGTCAAGAGAACGAGTGCATTATTTTCCACCAGATTTGAATCTGCAAGATTCTAAATCGAGAGGATCCCCGGGGGGCTATAAGAACTTAGAAGACTAGATAGGAACAGGGAAGGAGCAACACCCGCGTGCTCATCTCGGGGAAATGCATATTCACGGGATGATCCTTGCTGGGTTTGAAGAGGATCGTCATGGGAGCCTTTGGACACTGCACTTGGCAATGCAGTGAATACTGAGACCTTATCACAACCTTGGAATTGTTCAAGGATCGACTCGTGACTAGTCTATACTAGTGAATTGGCTTGCATAGCCGAGGCCTGCCGGACAAGGAATGATAGGCTGTGCATATGGATTGGGGGTATAACATAGGTACTAAGTAGTACTCTGTATGGAGTACTCGGGACTAGTATTTCCTAAATATTAGTCCCCGGACTACCCTCCCTGAAAGAGACAAGTGTCAGGGGGTTGTAGTTAAATATGCAACCCGGCACGTGCCCCCCTTTTCTCCAACTCACGGGCCAAGGTCATTCAATAGTTCAAGATATATTACTGTAAATAGAACACGCGACACCCGTTTGATCTGCATGGAAATGGTGTTTGCTCAATTTTATCTGTTGTTACACATATCCATATCTTTAGACCTTGGTAAAGCGCAAGTAAGGCTTAACCTCACGAACTTCACCAAACTTCTTCTTGGCATCCGCGGTAGTGACAGAGGGGGCACGATGACATCATCGCCAACGCTCCAGTCGATCGGGGTAACTACACCTTTCTTATCACCGGTCTGCAGGGAGTCGATGACCCGCAGGACCTCAGCGGAGTTTCGGCCCGTGGAGGCGGGGTACATCATGGTCAGGCGGATCTTCTTGCTCGGGTCAATAATGAACACGGAGCGAATAGTAAACGCGATTTCCTTCTGTCCAATGCTATCCTGGTCGATCATGTCGTAGAGGAAGGCAACTTTGCGGTCGGCATCGGCGATGATTGGGAATTGGACTTGTGTCGAGCCGACTTCGTTAATGTCCTTGATCCATTGGTCATGGGAACCGAGCTCGTTGGCACTCTGGAGAGAATAGGCGCATCAGCTAAGGCTTTGTAGGAGTTGTAAATGGCGGGGACTCACCAATCCGATCATCTTGACACCGCGTGCGTCGAATTCACTCTGAAGGCGGGCGAAGGCGCCCAATTCGGTTGTACACACCTAATTCCCCGTTAGTTCAGCGTCTTCGTAGAGTCGATTGGTGACAAGTACGGGTGTGAAGTCTGCAGGGTGTGAGAAGAGGATGGTCCACTTATCACCGATGAACTCGTGGAAGTCAATTTCGCCCTGGGTGGTCAATGCCTTGAAGTTTGGGGCTATCTTGTGTTAGCATAGTATCTTGGCAAATGCGATTCTGTTGAGACTGTACCAATTGAGCCCAAGCGCAGATGCGGCTGTTCCATCTTGGCCGAGATGAAGCGGCGGAAAGCGGGCGCACGCGGCACCTGCGCAGACCACGAGGGCCGCGGAGCAGCTCTGAATGCACGGAACATTTGAGTGCCAATTCTAGAAGCCATGATTGTTAAGAGCGAAAGGTGGAAGCTTCCAAATCCAAAGTTGACTCGGGACTTTGAACCCGTGAATCCGTGGACGTCATCAAGTCTGACTAATCACCAGCTTTGCTGGGGCCTAGGTGGCCTCAGGCCCTAACTACCAACATGTAACCAGGTGCCCAAGTTTTGGATGTTCATGCGCGACGATGCTTTTGTCACTTAGTTTCCAAGATTTGCCTATGCTGCATCTTTCTAGTAACGAATCTAAAGATGCCTTACATAGGCTTGAGGATCTTGGGTATTGTGCGCGAACTACGGGGTTTTAAAATCGGCAGATTTATGCAGCCAAGCAAAATCTGATTAAGGTACGAACTTATATCCCATTTATAGAACACCTTTCCACGGTAGAACACAACATAGATGAGAGAAATGAAATTGTTGTCTGAGACATTCCAATGTCAGAAACTTGACACCATCCACGGGTTGAACGGGATCTTATGATTGGACCAACGAGAGCCCCAATCTGAGACCCTTAATATCAACCTTGGCTCAGCCAGCCCCGTTTAATAATAAATTTTGGAAATCTTAGTACCTTTACCTTGAATGATACCTACACCATAAAAAAAACATGCATTTTACTGGGGCCAAGAAAAGGGAATAACCTCTTACGACGCATCAAATAGAGGCCTTGCGATATTCTATGTATACACATACTGATCTACTTGAACTTACCACACAAAACTTCAAAGAATAAAAGCCAAGCTTTTGTGGGCCCTAGATGGATCACTCACCAGGAGATAGACCCTTTTCTCTCATAAGTCGGCGGATCCCTTTTTGAAAGTCTGATCTTCGTTCGCATTCCCCTCAGGAGGTTCCCTTGCCTTCAAAATGGGACGGTTTCACTATCTACTCGGTTTGCTATTATTATTTATTTGCTCATTTCTCTGGATTGCATCAAACCTGGCAAAACAACCACCAAGCATTGTTCTTACTCATGGATCATGTGTCTGCAACGAAGACAATGTTACCGCCGCCTCAGATGCCGCAATCATACCCTCGCATCGACCGGAACCTCCTATTAAGGAGATGAAACCGATATCAAAACCGAAAATACCAAGCTACCTCCCAATCACAAACTCCCACGATCACCACACACAGTCCTCAATCCCATTCAAGCTTTGGCAAAAGGCCGGTTCACAGAAAATCAACGAAGCCCGCCAGAAAGACATCCATAGTTGGCTAAACGTGAACCCACGTCTACGACATGAGATCCTCACAGACGACAGTGCAGACGAATACGCTCGTGAACATTTTGCCGAATACCCAGACGTCCTGAACCACTATCTCTCTCTACCGGTACCGATTCTGAAAGCCGACCTGCTTCGCCAATTGATTTTGTACATCGACGGAGGAATTTGGAGCGATCTTGACGTGACATGTCACCGCCCAATTTCTACCTGGATCCCGGAACAATACCAAAACAAAACAAATGTCGTTGTCGGGTTGGAATTCGACGGGTTCCAGTTCGCAAGTTGGACGATCATGACAAAACCCAAAACAAGCCATATTGTGGCCGTTATCAAATACATCATCGATAAATTGAAGGCGACTGCTGCACAGCACCATGTGACAACTGCCGAACTTAACATGACGATGATCAACGATGTGGTGGAACTTACGGGTCCACAGGCGATGACTGTCGCCATATTGCAGAACCTGCAAAAAGAAATGGGCATTCCTGTCGGCCGAGCGAATATAACGAATATCAAAGAACCCACCCTATTTCAGGACGTGCTTGTGCTGCCGAATGCGGCCTTTGCCTCTAGACAGGGTGGTTACCCGGAGGATAGAGGGCCTTATCTTGTTGAACATCATTACGCTGGCTCCTGGAAGAATGCCAATGGTGGTGAGACGAAATCGTGACATATTCGGAACTTTTTGTATTAGCGTTGCACCACACCAAACATATGTGACACGATGGACATAAAAGCATAAAATATAATCTAATCATTGCATTCGGGGTTTAATTGACTCTCGGGAAAGTGACTATTGTTAAACTATTGTTAAAATAATGATTGCATGTAAATTCCTGTCGACTATGGCTTTCTAATCTTGCCGCCGAACTCGTATATAAGGGGTTCGTAGGCCCATGGTACTCATTGATACATACAAGAGTAGACCGCCGGCTATGTGGCCTTGTCATGCCTTTTTGGTGGTCTTTAGATGTTTCAGATGTTCCATTAGATATCTCATTAGATGCCTCTTTGGATGCTCTTTTGGAAAGTTCTCCTCGCTTAGGCAGACTGTGGCTCGTGTTATACCTACATAATTTGGAGCGCCTGTTTGAGTTCCAATACAATGTAAGAAACTTTTTTATACATAAATACGTTTCTTAAGGATACGTTGATTGGAGGAAGAACATTGGGCGATCTCCTTACAAATCCGTGAGATTAAACTCGAGTCTTGACTGTCTAATGCTTCCTTGAAATGGCCATCCGTCTGTTTAAGACTTGTTCATCGACAGTTGTTCCCAATCCAGGCGTTTCAGGCACATGTAGATATCCACCCGAACCATCAATCTTTTGGACAAGCAGCTCGTTCCGAATGCTGTAAGCATCGGGGGAAAGGATGACCATTGGCTCTTTGGGATTAGGCTCTTGTCCCTCCTCCCTTGGGTTCCACGGAGTGGCAGCAGACGCCTGGATCGTAGCCGCCAAACCAATTCCAGAGCCATAGCTAGAGCCGTAAGATGGCATAACACGTATCCCATGGTCTGCAGCAACATTCAGGATCCGAAGTAAAGCAGTAAACCCCCCACAAATGATGATATTTGGCTGGACGATGTCAACATTCCCTCTAGCCATTCTATCGCAAATCATCGTCGTATCCCATTCTCTGCTACCCCAAGCCACAGGGACCAATGCTCTTATGTTGTCTTCAAGGGGCGTTCTTGAAAATTCAATAACGAGAGAGACCTCTGAGGATGGCATTGCTCTCACTAGCTCCTCCGCCGATACACCACTTGTGTTCTCAACGACAATGGTTGCGTGCCGGCCAATCGCATGACGACTCGCCCGGAGCCGTTGCTTATTATCCTCAAGCCCGCCATGAATTCTGGCCAGAAAGGTATCAAACCCCAAATCTAGGTAGTGCTGTGCCTCTGGCACTGTAGCTGGGGCTGGTTGCAACATCGAATCCGAGGAAAAGAGTCCGGACAAATAGCCGAGAGAGTTGACATCCACACAGACCTTCATCTTTGTGCGGGTGATCTTGCTCAGGAGATGGCAGATTGGTTGGCCTTTGACTTGGCCAGTGATATCCCACAGTGCAATATCAATTGCGCTAATTGCACCGATAAATATTTCTGGTCTCCGGCATACCTGTGCACGACGAACAGACGGGGAGTTTCCGAGGATTTGTAGCTCATTCCAGATAACCATGGGTTCGGTGGGGTCACGTCCGATCAGGGTGGGGGCAATGATTTCGTTCACCACATCAAGAACTCTTGCCGGGCCCCAGCGTGCGAAGGGAAACCGAGATGTCCCCTCGCCCCACCCAACGATTTCCGTGTCAGTTTCGATGCGCACCAAGCAGCTATAATCCAACTCGGAATTGCCGCTGTCAGGGCGAGCTCCACGGACGACGTACGGGGTAACCGAGATGATTCTAATTGTGGATTTTTGGACTTATGGAAAGGCGTGATACCTGTGGAGAGGTTGGCTCGCACCGGGCTGTGATATCGAAAGGGAGACAAGAATCATGAAAGTATATTGAGATAAAGCGAGTCGTGGGTAGCATAGAATTGATATGAGGCGAAGAAGATAGAAGAAAGGCAAAGGCAAAAGGCAAATAAATACGTAGAAAATAGCCTTCAAACCTCCAAGCAAAGTCAACAAACAACCTAGATCTCTTCAAACCCTCCTTCTCTATACGGCCACATGCTTCTATCACACAGCGCTACAAGCAACTACATTACAGTAGACATACAATGACCCAATACTCAGGTGCAATGTCACTGATTTGGAAGGCGACAGCCCAATGTTTTTCCTCCAATCAACCTATCCTCACATCCGTAGTTATACCTCGAAAAGTCTTTTGCACAAAGTATACTTCTTTTACCACCTTCATATACAACGAAAAAGAACATCTAGAGAGGCATCTAATAAGATATCTAAAATAACATCTGAAACATCTAAATACCACCGAAAAGATCACTAAAAGGATGTTATTATGCCCTTTGATGCCCTGTTCGCATTTATCGAGGTGTAGTTTTCATTTGGCGGTTTTGCGGTCCGTAAATTACTCAAATATTGAACTAAGCACCTAGGAACATATGTATGTATATACCTACCGTAGGTAGGTGGGTAACAACTTGACGTGACGTCACGCCATTGTTCCGTCGGTTCATGTATGTACCCCACACGGGCCGCAAAGCTTAATTTATTGAATCTGCGACTCCACAATCATTCACAATGTAGGTAGATAATACGGTAGTTATGCTATTGTACCACAAGACCATTCATTGATATTGTCCCATTATTTGGAGAGGATACCTGAAGGTTGCCTTGGGTGGGCGGGGGACCTGTTGAATGGGTAGTCGCTCAATTAAGGAAGGAACGTTTGAATGGGCAAGTCGTTCAATTCAGGAAGGAACGCGTAGGACTAGTCCTAAAAGCTCGACTCTTGTTTTTGTTTTCCTCTCTTCTTCTTCTTCTCTCTTCCCATATTTGCCATTCTAAATCGTTTTTTTTTCCCTTGAACCACAATGCCTCGGCTCGTTTCGATCCGTTTGTTTTTGTCGCTTTGTTTGCGGCCATGGCCGCATATTGGCACCACGACCTGTGCCAATTTGTTGGAAATGTTGTGGTTGGTTTCATCTTCTTGGTAACGGGGATTTGCTGCATCAGTAGGTAAGTTTAGAAGGCTCCATCCCTCATATGTCCCATCCCAATACCCATCCAAATACCTATCCAAATACCTATCCAAATACCTATCCAAATACCTATCCAAATATTCATAGAGACTAACATTCAGTAGTCCCCGCGCATGGCTGTTCCGGTTGGTGGCCTCGGTGGCAGTGTGGGTGGCCGATGCCGAAGCCGCTCAGTCTACCTACCCCACCCACCCCACCGAGGCCACCGAGGCAACGAAGACCGAGAAGAGACTGAGAGCCCGGGTGAGGGGTTTGGAGCAGTAGCTCCGTGGCACGGAGGCACGAGTTCGCGATTCCGAGATAGCCCGGGAGATCGAAAAGAAACGCCATGAAAAAGAAGTCCGCCGCCTGGACGCTCAACTGGCGACTGTCTCCTGGGGTATCAAGGAATCCCTGCTTGCGAAGGATCAGGTGATAGTCGAGTGCCGCCAGTGGCGACGCAAGTTCGAGGACCTGGAACACCTAAAGCAGCAGGCCCTGGAAAATCCCGTTCGCGGGATGCAGGGGCGTCCTCGTTGGGCTCCGGCCAAAAAGTACGGAGTTGTGAAGCGGGAACTTGGTCGGTCGACAAAAACATTCACTGCCATTGCGCAGGTGGCTATTGTCAATGCGGCGTGGGAGTCGAAGTTGGTCGGGTTCGAGAGCAAGGCTCGAGACTATGTGGCCCGTACCGACGACCAGATTCGGTCTCTCAACGCCGCCGCCACCGCACTTAGAAACGAAAACGCCTACCTCTAACAGCAGATGAAGGCGACCCTCGCTATCACTCACGAGCTGGCCCAGCAGCAAGTGAGGGATGCGGTGGCAAGCACGATGCTGTTCGCTGACCACAAGCATGAGGAGGTTGTCAAGTTGCTAAAGCAGACTCATAACGAGGAGCTTATGGCAGTCAAGGCTGGCCACGAGAAGGAATCAGTGAAGGAAACATCGGCAGTCAAGGCAGAGGTAGAGGTTGCGCGAGCCCAGCAGCGTGAGGCGGCTAAGAGAGCGGGACAGGAAGCAACCCACCGAAAGGAAGAACTCGTTGCCAAGGAAGCGCAGCTGGGCGAGCTGCAGGCCGCCAATACCAGGATTGCCGGTGACCTTCGGGTCAAGGAGGAAGCATACAATCGACTTGAGAGTGAGAGGGACCAGCTCAAGAGTGAGAGGGACGGCTTGCTAACAGCCGGCGAGCGTCTACAAACCCGGTATGACAGACTGAAGACCGAGGCAGACGAACTCGTGAGGGATTTAAAGGTCCTTGAGGATGATAATATAGAGCTGAAGGAAGCAGCGGATTACCTCGCTGGCGAAGGCAAGAAATTCCAGCAGGAGATAGAACAATTGAAGGACGACAACCGAGGCTTGCTGGAGAACAACACGGAGCTGCTCTGTCAGACAGTAGTATCCGACCTCGACCTCCGGCAGACTCGGGGCAGAGTGGGCAACCTCGAGCGGCAGGTAGCGGATTTGGAGACCGCCGACATCACCGTGGCGGTTAGCGGCATGGGGACGGGTGGAGCTCAGCGCTGAATAAGCAACTGTCCTGGCTTCCCGACTACAGGTCTCCGTTGCTACTTGGTTGCTCACTCTGTCGTCGTCCTTCCACCACTGTTTCCTCAGTTTCACTAATCATCTCTCAAGGTCCCTTTCCCCTCTCCCTCCTTCCTCCTTGTCTCCTTCATCTATTCCCTTCCCCCTTCTAACTGCCCCGTCCCTACCTGTTGTTCTCTTCTCCCCGCCGCGACCGACCGTCATTACTCATTACATCACAGCATGTCCCGTTAAGTTACCCACGCTCCTCTTATGAATTCTTCACCATACCGCTCGTTTGCCGCTCGGCCATTGATGCTGAGTCTGGCCAAGCTTCTCCTCGTCGCCCTATCGCAAGTTCCTTTCACCACTGCTGCGCCTATCCTCTCGCCTCTTTTTCTGTCATCCCGCGACACAGAACCACCAAAGGAACCAAGCGATCCAAGTTTATGGCTTTACTTGGGATTTTCAGCTGCTCTTGTGTTGAGCGGTGGAGCATTTGCGGGTCTCACAATTGCCTTGATGGGACAGGTCAGCCCTTTCCAACCCGGTTGAAAATTCCCCGTTGAACTAGGCTAACATCCTAATTGCTTCGTCGTACAGGATGAAGTTTATCTCCAAGTCATCAAGACATCAGGTGAAGGCCACGAAAGGAAAAATGCCGCCAGTGTTCTCAACCTCTTGAACCACGGAAAGCACTGGGTTCTTGTCACGCTCCTCCTCAGCAATGTGATCACAAATGAAACCTTACCCATCGTCCTTGACCGAACACTCGGTGGTGGTTGGCCTGCGGTGTTAGGAAGTACTGCTTTGATTGTCATATTCGGCGAAATTGTTCCACAGTCCATTTGCGTTCGTTACGGCCTTCCCATCGGTGCCTGGATGGCACCTTGTGTCTTGGTCTTGATGTACATTATGTCTCCAGTCGCCTGGCCAATCGCAAAATTGCTAGACAGGCTGCTTGGAGAGGATCATGGTACCATCTACAAAAAGGCCGGATTAAAAACACTCGTCACTCTTCACAAAACCTTGGGTGAAGCCGGAGAGCAACTCAACTCCGATGAAGTGACCATCATCAGTGCAGTCCTCGACCTCAAAGAGAAGTCAGTAGGCAGCATCATGACACCAATGGATGATGTCTTCACTATGTCCGCTGACACTGTCTTGGATGAACGCACGATGGACCATATTCTTTCCCAAGGATATTCCCGCATTCCTATTCACGCCCCTGAGAATCCGATGAACTTTGTCGGTATGCTCCTTGTCAAGATGCTCATTACATACGACCCCGAAGATTGCAAACGGGTCCGCGATTTTGCTCTGGCTACACTTCCAGAAACACGCCCTGAAACCAGCTGTCTAGATATTGTGAATTTCTTCCAAGAGGGAAAGTCACATATGGTTCTTGTCTCTGAATATCCTAGTGAGGATCGTGGCGCTCTTGGAGTTGTCACTTTAGAAGATGTCATTGAAGAACTGATCGGAGAAGAAATTATTGACGAATCTGACGTCTTTATTGATGTCCACAAAGCCATCCGACGAATGACACCTGCACCCAAGTCTCGAGTTGCCAAAGGCAAGATCGTCGAAGAGCCTCCTTTGAACGCCTCTATTGTCGCCGATGGCGACTTGATCGACGTGGATTCCACGCAACCTTCGTCTCTCCCTAAGCCTTCCGACTTGATTCGACGCCGCAGTTCTGTGGAAGCACCACTCCCCCGCTTTCAACTTCGCAAAACTAATACCGATATCAATCCAGACTCAGCAAACGAATGGGTCACACAAGTCGGCACCACAGATGAGATTCGAGAACACCTAAAACATCTTGGTCCCTCCAACCTCGCCAGCAGGCCGCGCCAAACCCGTTACCATGCCGTCAAGATAAAGCGCAACAGCGCCTCTCCCTCCCGTTCCGCACAAACCGACTTTGAGTCTGGACAAAGCACCTCCGACTCCCAAAAGCTTATCACTTCTTCTACTGGATATCAAGGTGGGATAGGTGCAGGCTTGCTCAACTCCGCTGGAACAGACGCTAAAGATGGTGCGCATGCTCTCAAAATTGGGTACGGCACCATGACTTCACAAGACAGCGTGAGCAAAGGCACAGGTGCTCAGCAATACAAAGACCTTCCCCAAGTCTCCATTCCCGAGGCTGTCCGTGAGGAACACGAAGACCAACCGCGTTCTGGGTCGACGCGCGAGGCTAGTAGTGTGGCTTTACTCGACGATTCCGAAAACCAACCGCGTTCTGGGTCGACGCGGAAGGCTAGTAGCGACGAAGGCAGTGTTGAATCGCCTGGTACACCAGGCTTTATTTACCATCACCGCGGACCGGCGCGTAGCGGAAGCATCACAGAACAGGTTGTGGATGTCAATGGTATTCGCAAAGTTGTCCTTCATGCAAATTGCGCGAGTTCCTCAGAAGGTGAATCTCATCCATTAGGCCACCATCGCCATCGTAACCACCACCATACCGACGGTTCAGTTCTTGATACCGATGATGCAAAATCAGAAAATCCCGACAATGGCCACGCAAAATCCAAAAAGAAGCGTCGCCGAAAGAAGCATGGCAAAGCTTCAAAGTCTGATGGCGGTCCCTCGGAGGACCAGCCGTTACTCCGTTGAGCCTCTTGTTAGATAGTTGAATGAGATTGTCAGAATCATTTCCTCGATTATGCCTGTATGTCCAGTCCATGTAATTGTGTATGCTAACTAAGAAGCCAAAAATCATCGATCCCAGAATAGGCCAACATGCAGACATGTCTGTGGTTACATCTACAATTATAACAACCCTTACGACACAGATATTGAGCAGATTTGCTTTGATTTTTCTCGGACTAGATACATGAATGATATCTCCAAAAGACTCCCCCAAATAACATGAACGACGACCCAATGACGGCCTCTGTAACAAAAGGTATATGCAACATGTAATCGCTATCCATAAAGACGTCCCTCCATGAAGTTGTCCAATGTTCGGTGAGGCCTCATTAAAACCGACCGGGTTGAAAAACTCATTTGAGAAAATGGCCCGGTTCGGAAAGAGTACCTCACTTGGTTGTTTCGTTGATGAATCAAAGGGCTTGTAGAAGCCCATAGGTTCGCCAAACCCGGGCAGTCTCGCGGCACGGAAGGAACGAGCGTGCAATTTGAAGAGCTGCGGTGGTTGTCGATGTATTGTGAGTATTGGCGAGTGGTTCGTTGGTGACATCGCAAGGACGATGTCGTGGATGAAAACCGGTCGATTGATGTGAGTTCCCGTTGGTGCTGTGATGAAGCGATCATTGCAGAAGGGGATCCTAGAGAGAAGGTTAGTTTTGCAATATAAAAGAAGAGTACAGGTGGAACATACGCGGAAGTGCTTCTGGTGATTGTTGGCTCTTTGAACGCGGGCAACGTAACGGTTCTCTTGGCGAAGGGCACGAGTTCTCTCGCGACGCTCGGCAGTGAGAGCAGCTTCCTTTTGTTCTTCGGTGACACCAATCATGCCCATACCGCCATTGGCACGAGTGACAAGAGCGCGGTGATGACTGGGGCGGGTGCGGGGCGGTTCCTCTTCGATTTCTCCATTCGCAATGGCAAGCTGGCGGGCAGCTCGTTCGGCGGCTGTGGGGTATTTGTGAAGGTTCTGCTTGTAGTACTTGGCAAGTGAACGGTGACCGACACTCTTTCCAGATGGAAGGTGGAGCTCGTAGTCTGCCTCGTAAGCACCTGATGCATTTCGGTATGAGTCAAGATCATCCTCGTCGACGGAGGATGCGGAACTGTCGGTTTCCCAGCCTTGGTCATCTCCATCTCCGTTCACCTTGACGCCACCGCTGTCGGCAGTGGATTCGTCTTCATCTTCGGAGTAGGTGCTCCGGAAATCGTAGTATTGACCGATTTCAACTTGCTCGTCTTCGGACTCGAAGGCAATCATGCAATGGCTCTTGTCGCGCATGTGGGTTTGGATGGCTTGTGCGTCGTTCTTCATGGCGTGGCAGTAAAGGCACTCGAAGTTCTCGGTGATTTTTCGGTAGAGATAGTTGACGAGGCCATCGAGATCCACCAGATATTTTTGCTCGGGGATGAACATGCCGTGGTCTATGCGCATGTGGTCCACGTTGGTGTGAATATCGGTTGATTCGGTTTTGCAGAAGAGACAGCGAGACGCCAAGAAATCGTCTTTCTTGATCTCGGATTCCATATCCTCATCTTCCTCTTCGTCGATGGTGGCAGTCTTGAGGCCTTCGGTGACCTTGCTGACGTCATTGTCGGACTTGGTCACGGGTTCGCCGAGAGAGAAAGCAGAACTCTGGACGGAGGCAGCATCGCCATCCTTGCGTAGGCTGGCTGCGCGTTGCTTGTGCTTCGAGCTGTTGATGTGGTTTTGGTACGAGTTCTCGCTGTAGAAGGCCTTGTTGCAGGTGTGGCAAGTCTTTTCGTACGAAGCCTTGGCGGCGGCCTCGTTGGATGTAGCTTTAGCGGCAAGAACTTTTTCGTTGAAAGTCTCGAGAGTGACCGGGGGGAGAGAAGCAATGCGACGCTTCATGTTGTATAGACTAGGTCAAATCAGCTTCTGAAGCCACAAAAATACATACATAAAAATTCGAAAAAAAAAAAAAAGAATTCAAGACTTACTGCCAGTCTTTGCGCATGTGATCTCTCTGCGCATCGCTGCGTTGGAAGGCAACAAGACAGGTGTTGCAAGTGTATTGCAGCGAGGCTGCATCTTGGTTGGTCGACGACATATCGGTGATTTTTCGAGTGTCGTGGGTGGTTGAAAGGGCGGGTTTTCCCTGTGGATTGTGGGATGAATATTTGTTGTAGGCGGGGTACATATGAAGGCTCTGCCTTGTCCCGATTTTGATGATTTTTTGATGATTTGATGGTAGATTGATGATCAAAGTGGATGAAAGTGATGAGACCCAGATGGATGTAAGAGAGAGGAATTTTTCAAAGGAAATGGACCTGTGAGTCAGTCTTTATGCACTCAATAGGCCGTCATACAGGGTTGATCTTCTAAATTATCCGTTTCTTATCGAGCGACTGAGCCCCTCTGAAATGCTACTAGTCCTAATCCAGTAAGCGTGATAACTCATAAACGGCTTAGTAATACCAGAAAAGGTCGGCGGGCTGAGTAACCCAAGGTCCGCCGGACTATTTGACTTCCGTCACCTCCGATCACAAGAGTGGATATACTTTGCCTGAGGCATCATAATCTTACTACGTTATCATTAAGCTAGGTGGACCGTCTTGGTTGCATTTATTCAACGCGTGGAGACGAGCAAACAACTAGCGCTCACCCTCACATACAGCTATTCCCACACTCTCAGATATGCTATTCTGTTGAAAATGACAAGGCTCCGCGGAGGTTCCATCGACGACCAAGACATCGCGCGATCCCCCGGCCACGGGCGAACTCACAGTTACCGGTCAAAGCTCCCACCAAACGCACCGGATGCGCTCATACAGAATACTATTGAGATATCGGATCCCTCAAGAGTGTTACCACGGTATCGCGATGACCGAAGACGGAAATTCAACGGCTTAGTGCGCAGGTGGGTGGGAACTCTAAACGCTGGGCCTCGACCTCCCAACTCCACATGACACTAATTGCTTTGGCGGAATAGGTACAAAGCTCAACTGCTCCACGGATGCGATGATCCCGGATGTCAAACTTCTACATGTGCTAGTCATCGCCGAAGACTCAGTGAAGGTCCATATCGTCGATACACAGAACTTAGTGCGAGGACTCTGGCATGCTACCTCGCCAGCTTGGATGACCCGGAGACCGGTCTATGTTTGAACGTGCCTAAGCCGCCACCGCAATTGACAGCGGAAGATTACCATCGGATTTCCTTGCGCCGTACCCGTACACTTGAAGCACAGACAGCAGCGGCTAACAGGTCGCCAAAACCGGATCGGTACGATGAAGACCACTCGCCCTATGACCTATCCAGCCCTGTGCAAAATAGATCGGCCGTGTCGGAAGTTAAAGAAGGGGATTCTTCGCCCCAAATCCGTACCGGTAGAAGCTATATTCGAGACCTCGACCATACCGCGGAGCAACAACTAAAAGACCCCAAGTCTTTTACACAGAACCTTTTTGATACAATCTCCCTTCGTATGGTCGAATGGCTTCCCCTTCGCCGTGCCCCGGACACACTGGGTCCAAAGCCCAAATCACCTGCACCGGAAGCCGCAAACCATCCGTCTACTCATGTGAAGCACCACTACCATGCCGACAAAGTTCCAGGCAGAGATGCCAAAATTTCAGGCAGTTCCACATTTGCAACTCATCCCGGTTCTCAACCTCGTACTCCTTCGTCACGAACATCGGCATCCCAACCCTCCACGGTCGAGCTCAAGTTTCAGAACCAGCATGTCAAACGACTATCAGTCTCCGAGGTCGATCATTGGCGCCATACTCCGCGTGCAAGCCTTGATGATAAAAGGAAACCAGAATTTAACAAGAAGCCCCCAGTGGCTTCTGATGAGTTTGTCAGCTTGCCCTCACCACCAGCGTTAAAGCACCGTCCACAAAAGCACCGCGGAAGAATTGGGGATGTCGATTCGGTTTCCCTGGAGGAACGCCGCAAAAGTCAACGACGTGTCTCCTGGGATAGCCAGAAGCTGCTGGATGAGGCATCTCCTATCAATAATACGAGGAGCACAGAGCCCCCGCCTCCTCCTCGCCCTCTCCCTCCTTCTGTTACCCAACCTCCTAGCGAGCGCAATACAGAGCAAGTTATTGTCGAAAACTCGCTGGACACGATCCCACTGGCTCAGACGATCACTCATCTTACCCCTGAGATCATCGATAGTCTGTCACAGGTCATGATTGAATCTGCGGAAGATGCTGATTGCTGGGAGGAAGAACTTGATCTCATGCAATGCACTGGCAGCTTTGAGCAGCCGGATTGGCGTTTTGCAACTCTCCGTCAGCGTGAAGTATTTCCGTTCGTTGCTCAAAGTATATTTTTTGTGTTCAGCAGCCCCAATCAGATTTTGCGCTCCTTTAGTAGTGAGTCAACGGACATGGTTGGTGCTACTTCCAGTCGCCTTGATGTCTCCCGTCTGCGTTTATCACTGCAGCGCCTGTTTACGATTTGCCCGTGGGACATTGCGCTACATAGCCTCTGGAGCTCTCTGGACAAGCTCTTTGTTCCTCCGCTGGGATTCCCCTCTTCCGGACGGCCATCCCGCCGATCATCCCGCAGTTCGACCATGACAGGATCTGCAGCCCCTCCAGTCATTCCCCGACGAATATCTGAATCTCTCAGCGAAGATCATTTGTCGGATCCCGATGCCGCCTATATTGCCACGATTGCCTTGTTCACTTTGGTCAGCTTTGTGCCTAATATTGACTTGGGGACTTGGAGGACGGTGGTCCGGATGCGTGCCGCTGGGTCTGTAGCTTCACTGTCGGACATGCGCAAACTGCCTTCCAAGAATGCCCAGCAAGCCATCGAGGTGACGGACAGATTCGAGCATGAGTTAGGTCTCCGCCTCATTAATCGCCTCGTGCGGGCTCTTACTGCGCGACTGGCATACCATGAAATCTCCAAGGCCCGCCAAGTGTACAGCCTAGACCCACCAAAACAGCGCAGGCTCAGCGTGCTGGACCGCGTGGTTGACTACCTTAGTGAGCACCACATCTCTCATACTGCTGGCAGTGATGAGCCCACTGAGTCCATTAGCCCAGCCTGCCTCATTGTTGAGTGGCTTCGGACTCTTTTCCTGCGTGAATGGGACGGCAACCCCGAGATGGCCCGTAGCAGCCCTACCGGTGGTGCAATTCAGATTCTAGCCTCAATGTACAAGGAACGAAACCGCTTAGGTCTTTTACCCGAAGACTTTTACACACCTCTTCTCACCGAGCGGCTGGACCCATTGGATATGCCCGTGGCATGGGTTGAGGCCCTCCCAAACAACCGAACCATGCACCTGCTATCGTATTCCTTCCTTTTCCCTCCGTCCTCTCTCGTGATCTACTTCCGTGCTTTGAACTATTCTGCCATGACCAAGTCCTATGAGGCTGCTATGACCACCACGAGACATGTCACTCAGACTGCCTTCGGGGCCATTCAAATCTCCGAGGACCCTCGACTCCTCACCCGCTTAAAAACATCCATGTCCACATACCTTGTTCTCGTTGTCCGCCGAGACAATATCCTCTCTGATGCCCTGAGCCAATTATGGCGGCGTGAAAAGCGAGAACTGATGCGA